TAACCATAAAAACAACAATAAAACAACCGCCTCTGCATCTGTTCTAGCCAGCCGTAAAAAGTGTATGTGCGTGCATGTTGTTTGTATGTGTGTGCATTTGTATCTGTGTGTGTGTGAGAGAGAGAGAAAGAGAGAGAGAGAGAGAGAAAGAATGTGTGTGTGTGTGTGTGTGTGCGCGCGCGTGTGTGTGGTGTAATTTAGTTGTTTGATTAAGAAGAGCGATACATGTCGTTCAGTTATTTGTATGTAGATTACATTAGATTACAACTATCGGCATGTCTATATTGTTCATCACGTTCCTAAAACACACACAGACACACACACAGACACACACAGACACACATACATACCTACACACACAAACTTGTTACTTACATACTACAAACATACATACATACATACATAAACGTAGATACACACACACACATAAACATAAATCACAAACGTACATACATACACAAACATACGTACATAAACGAACCTACATAGGCAAACCTACATACGCAAACATACATACATACGTTCATGTAAGTTTAAGTTAGAGACGCACCGAATATTCTGTCGAATTTCGACATTCGGTTCTGGCTAGTTTGATAAAACCGATAGTCGAACAGTTCAATCCTCGTTCAAGTTATTACTCATTTTTGAATTCCAGAACAATAATTCATCGCGAATATTATTGGCGGGAAATTGGTCTTAGCCAATCATAGCTGTTAGAGCATGTGAAATTTAAAGAGAGATTGAATATTACACACATACACACACACACACACACACACACACACACACACACAGGCATGCATACGAAAAAAAAAAGACAAATTCCTGGACAATAAAAAACCAGTAATACAAAGTAAAAAATTTTGTTTTTCAATAACTACCAAGCTTTTTGGACAGACATTAAGTGATTTTGTGAAATCACGAGCATAATTATCATGACCGCCGTCTTCTTCATCATCATCACCATCTTCTTCTTCTTCTTCGAGATCATCATCATCATCGTCATCGTAATTTTCAGAATCATCATCATCATCATCATCATCGGTGGCGACTCTTGTTGCGAGTTTCAAACTGGCAGAATGGCGCTTGTTAAGAATTCGCCTTCTTACGCTTTGGCCGCCGGCGTTTTCATCATCATCACCATCCTCATCATCACCGTCATAATCATCGCCATCATCATAATCATCGTCATCTTTCTCGTCATCACTATCAGTATTATCGTGTCCTTCATCGTCGTCATCGTCGTCTTCATCATTGTGGTTGGAGGTTTCTCTGCCATCATCTCTGTGGTTCTCATCATCGAACTTTTTGTTGTTTTTGTTGTTGTTATTATTATTATTACTATTATTGTTGTTGTTGTTATTATTCATTTTCTTACTATTGATATACTTGCCATTGATGTTTCGGCTTCTGTTGATGTCTTTGATGTTTTTTCTATGGCTGTTTTTGTTGTTGTTGTTGTTGATGTTGTTGTTGATGTTGTTGTTGACTATGTCGAGACAGGCAGATGAACATCTTCTCGGGAGGCGAGCCATTTGGCAACATTGATTAAGAAGATTAGGGTTGCTGTTTTTGTTGATGTTGTAGCTGTATTTGTAGTTGTTGCTGCTGTATTTGTTGTTGTTGACGTTGTTGTTGTTGTGATTATTGTTTCTGTTTTCATTATTGTTGAACTTATAGCGATCATTACTATGATTGTATATCTTGAGACGTTTGTTGTTGTTGTTGCTTTTGTTGTTGTTGTTGTTGCTTTTGTTGGTAATGTCTTTGTTGATGTTGTTGTTGATGACGTCATATCTTTGTAAAACTGCTGTTTAGTTAGCACATCAAATTAATTTATTGAACGAACGGATGAATAAGAAGTTTTAATTAAATTAATTGAGTTAATTGGATTCAATTAAATGGTTGAACGATGTAAAGAATAAATGATGAACGAACGAGCGAACGAACAAACGAGTGAGTGAGTGAGTGAGTGAACTAATTAATGTAGGAATGAATGAATGAAAAAATGAATGAACGAATGAATAAATGAATGAAGAACGAGCGAACGAACGAAAGAAAAATAGTCCCAGAAGTAATAAAAGTATTAACTTTAAGTAAAAA